CTTTCATATCACCATAGAACCTTCATCTGGTGATGGATGGAGATAGAGACAGAGACCCACACTGGAGCACTGGACTGAGCTCCCAAGGTCCCAATGAGAAGCAGATGGAGGGAGAACACGAGCAAGGATGTCAGGACCACGGGGGGTGCACCCACCCACTGAGACAGTGGGGCTGATCTATTGGGAGCTCACCAAGGCCAGTTGGACTGTGACTGAAACAGCATGGGATAAAACCGACTCTCTGATCATGGCGAACAATGAGGACTGATGAGAAGCCAAGGTCAATGGCAAGGGGTTTTGATCCTACTTCATGTTCCGGCTTGGTGGGAGCCTAGCCAGTTTGGACGTTCACCTTCCTAGACATGGATGGAGGGGAGAGGACCTTGGACTTTCCATAGGGCAGGGAACCATGACTGCTCTTTGGATTGGAGAGGGAGCAGGAGAGGAGTGGGGGGAGGGGGAGAAGAGTGGGGGAAGGGGAGGGAAATGGGAGGCTGGGAGGAGGCAGAAACTTTTTTTCTTATTCTCAATAAAAAAAATAAAAATAAGAAGCTATAGTAATTGAAATACCACTTAGCATATTAGCTTAGGCTTCTTATTAACTAACTCTTATATCTTAAATCAACCCATCACTATTAATCAATGTATCACCATGAGAGTGTGGCTTACCAGCAAGGTTCCAGAGCATCTTTCTCCTTTGACAGCTGCATGGCATCTCTTTGAGTCCATCTACTCTCTATCTATCTCTGTTCTGATTTTGCATCTGGCTTTACTCTGCTAAGTAAACATATTTGTTTATCAACCAATAAAAGCAGCACATATACAGAAGGACATCCCATATCACCTATGCGTGTGTGTCTGTGCGCGTGTGTGTGTATTGTTAATACGAGTCTTTAATATCCAACTCATATCAAAGGAGAGATCATCCAGGCAAAAATTAGACAAAAAAACTGGTTCTATTAGAAGTGATGAAGTAAAGGGATCTACAAGTTATCCATAGAACATTTCAACCAAACACAGAAGAATATACCTTCTTTTAGTAACTCATAGAACTTTCCCCAAAATTGAGGTATACTCAGTAACAAAATAAGTCTCAACAAATACAAGAAAATTGTAATAGTTCCTACATCTTGTTAGACCACCACATATTAAAGCTGGATATCAACAACAACAGAAACAGCAGAAAGCCTAGGATCTCATTGGAGTTCAACAACTGTTTACTGAATGACTACTGGGTCAAGGTAGAAATTAGGAAAGAAATTAAAGACTTCATAGGCTTCAATGAAAGTGAATGAACAATGTATTCAAACTTATAGAATACAATGCAAGCAGCTCTAAAATGAAACTCATGGCACTAAGTGTCTACATAATAAAATTAGAGAGATCTGATACTAGCATTATAACAGCACAACTGAAAGTTCAGGTAAAGAAAGAAGCAAGCACACCCAAGTGGAGTAGATTGAAGAAAATAAACTGAGGGTTAAGATCAATAAAATAAAAACAAAAAGGATAATACCCCCTCCCAAATTAATAAAATAGAGAGTTGGTTCTTTGGGAAAATCAATAAGATAGACAGCCCTTATCCAAACTGAGTAAAGGAAGGAGAGAGATTATCCAAATTATCAAAATCAGAAATGAGAAGGGGGACATAACAGACACTGAGGAAATCCAAAGAATTATTAAGTTGTACTTTAGAAACCTGTACTCCACAAAATCTGAAAAATCTAAAAGAAATAGATAAATTTCTCAGTTGATATCAATTACCAAAGTTAAAATTGGATCAGATTAACAATTTAAATAGATCTTTAATTCCTGAGGGAGTATAAGCAGTCATTAAAAGTCTCCCCCCAAAAAAGAAGCCCAAGACCAGATGCTTTTTGTATAGAATTTGGCTAGATCTTCAGAGAAGAACTAATACAAGCACTGCTTAAATTATTTCTAAAATAGAAACAGAAGGAACTTAGCCAAATTCATTTTATGAATCCACAGGCCACAGTCTTCCTGATACCCAAACTATGGAAACCATACAAAGATTCAACAGAGAAAGAAAATTTAGTACAATTTACCTTATGAACATTGATAAAAAAATACTCAATAAAATATTCACACACCTAAAGGAACAGTACATTAAAGATCATACATATCAAGTAGTTTCATCCCAGAGATGCATGGAAGGTTCAATATATGAAAATCAGTCAATGTAATCCACCTTCTAAACAAACTGAAAGGAAAGAAAAACATAGGATCATCTCATTAGGTACTGAAAAAGCCTTTGACAAAATCCAACACCTGCTCATGATAAAAGTCCTGGAAAGATCAGATACACAAGGGACATAACTAAGCATGATGAAGGTAGTTTACAGCAAGCAGATAGCCAACATCAAACTTAGTGAAGAGAAACTCAAAGCAAGTCTACCAAAATCAGAAATAAAAAAGTGTCCACTCTCTCCATATCTATTCATTATAGTAATTGAAATTTAAACTAGAACAGTAATACAACTGGAGGAAATAAAGGGGATATGAATTGGGAAGGAAGAAGTCAAGTCATGGCTAATTTTAATTTTACCAGATATCTCCTATATCTGATAAACATCCTCAACAAAGTGACTGGATACAAGATTAACTTAAAAAAAAAGAAAAGAAAAAGAAATCAGTAGCCCTCCTATACAGAAATGACAAAGAGGCTGAGAAGGAAATCAGGAAAACAACAACCTTCCCAATAGCCTCAAATTATATAAAATATCTTGGGGTAACTAACCAATCAAATGAACAACTTGGATGATAAAACTTCAAGTCTTTGAAGAAAGAATTTGAAGAAGATATCAGAAGATGAAAAGATCTCCTATGCTCATATATCAGTAGGATTAACATAGTAAAAATGACCATCTTACCAAAAGCAATCTACATATGGAACTCACTTTCCACCAGTCTAATACAACTCATTACATACCTTGAAACCACAATATTCAACCCCCTAGAAAAGCCAACCCAGGACAGCTAGATCAATACTGAAT